CTTTCAGTGAGATAGGGCACACTTAATTTAAATTATACACAAATGAAGGCTACAGGTCCCAGAAGAGGTGGCACACAGCCCTTCAGAGAATAAAATATTGCCCTCCCTAGAACCTGTCAGTTTTAATTGATCATTTGGATGGGGTTTTTTCAAATCACAGAGGCTTTAGAAATGTGAGGCATGATCCAAAATGAATCAAAATTAATGGAAGATTTATTTCACTCAGTTTTGGATCAAAGCTCTGTGTGAAGACACTGATAGGTTTGATACTTTGCCTGTGTTTAGTGTTATAACTTTCAAAAAATTATAAAGTGTAATTTAGTATTATAACTTTCACAAAATTATAAAGTATCCATGACTTACTAGGAAAGGATCCCACACCTGGTTCCCTGCACTGCAGCTCTGGTGCCAAATCTCAGCTGCATTTCTCCCAGATGCTCTTTGCACAAAAAAGAATTATCAGAGGTACAAACCATGACAGAACTGAATCATATCTCTGAAGAGATGAGAGAAAAAGGATTCTAGTTTGTTTTCTTCACAGAGTTTTCCTTCTTTCAAGAGACAAAATATGTTTGGTAAACTGCTTCTTTACAATGAAAGCATGCCAAAGCTGAAAGTTTCATGGTTTGTTTGTTTTCCAGCTGAGGCTTTTAGGATACAGTGTTTTAGCATTGTTGTAGCATCCACAATAAACTACAGACAGTCCTGAAAATCTTCAAACTGCAAGATACAACAGAGACACCTACTACTGCTCTGCTCTGGTAGGTCACCACTTGGATCAACTCTGGTGATAGGAAACCTGTTTTATCTTACTTATCCTTTTCATCTTTTGTTTCTTTGCTGAGCAACTTTTCACTATAGTTTTATGCAACCAAAATTTCTACTAGAAAAAGATAAATAAACAAACTACAATTCCAAAGTATTATTCCCATGACCTTTTGTACATGAACACCACCCTACATATTATCATTGGAGAAAATGTTGTCTAAAAATTACCAAGAGGTAAAAAACATTATTTACACAGAAGAAAATAAAATTACACTACTGGTTAAAAGATAAAGCATATTGAAAGAATTTTTCATGTGGCATTTTTATATGATAAATAAGTCTTAAAAGTTTGAGTTTCAGTCTCCATATAAATAAGTGGATGTTAATAGGTCATGCATACAGACTCCCCTTTTAAAATACCAATGAGATGTCCCTTATGTTTTTACATGTGTAAGTACAATTAATCCAGCAACCCAACTGGAAACAAAATTGCTTTAGTTAACCAACCATTGCAAGGCAATCAAGTGTGGTATCAAATGTAATTGTAGAAGATTCATTTGGGGAATAACAGCAATTACTTCACACAGAATTTTCCCTTTCATTCTTTCAGCTTGCATATATTTTTTTCATGAGTCTCTATCTCAGAAAAATAATTGGACGATCACAACTGTCAAAAGCATCCCCCTTTCAATCTGTAGTGTACAAGAAATTTCAAACTGACAAGGCTGTTTCATTTAGATTTATTGGTTTGTACCTCTGAGTTGTAACTGCTTTAATCTAAAATATTCAGGCTTAATTCCTGCAGCTGTACAGGCAGCTGGGGAATTGGGCAGTACCAATGCAGTGGGAAACAGAGAATGGGATTTCTCCATTTGCCTGAAGCTAGGCATTTTTGATTTGCCTTCATAAACTTCACAAATATTATCTAAGGACCTAATAGTTTTCTATCAGGTAAGTATTATTTTTGGGCCATACAAGTAAACTGCAGTTCAACTGTTTTAAATAACTTTGTGCTTCATCAAAAAATAACACTTTACAATCCAATATTTCTAATTTTCCCTTTTTTGCTTAGAAGACATTTGATATTCTTAGTTAAAATTATTAATATTACTTTGAATAACTTTTTACCTTTAGTAAATTAATTATTCATTTCCGAAAGTATTTGTCTATTTAATTATCAGTGAAAAATACCCATATCCAAAATTATATTTTTTCTTGTCACTTAGTTAGAACTAATGGTAAATATGTAAGATGCATGCTCTTAACTCATTTTAGATTTCCAAAATATCTCTGGGAATAAATATGTTTTTTTCCTTGTAGTAGCTTATTTCAAAAGACCGTATCTAAGATGCTGAATTTTTATTATAGGGTGACATTAATCTAAAAATTAAATCTTTAATGCTTGCATGTTTCTTTTGCCGTCACTGTGCACAACCCACTCATATTTAGAGTAAGGTGTTAGAACAGGCACCCTGGTGGTTTTTGATTGACACATCCCTTGTAGCTCTGCACAGACCTTGGTCTCACAGTCAGCCTTCTCTGCCCTTTCTTTTCTGCATATGTTCCACTCAAGCCAGCCTATATACACTTCCCCAGGAGGAATGCTTGGGATATTTTCTCCTGAAAACTCCATAGGCTTTTATTCATCTGCAATCTGACTGTCAAGGACATTGCTGATCACAAGCTCATTAGAAGCAGAAATAGCTTGTCCCATGAGTTTCATTCTACAGTGACTCATGCGCAATGCTGCTGGAAGGGCTTTCATCACCCAAACCTAAATCCTGGATGAGAAATGAACCTCACTCAGCATCATATAGACCATTCATAATGCTATCAGAAGAGCTTTAAGAACCTTTAACTGAAGAAAGTTCTACAGCCTATCTTCTATTTTCCATCAGAGCCATTAGGAGAATGAGTCTTCCAGTGAAAACTAAGTTTATCATAAAGATCTGTGTGCAAACTAATTTGAGCAGGCATTTTCTAAAAAGTAGGCCAAAAAAGAAGAAAGATTACTTCTGGCAAAAATGGAACAAATTAAATTATAAGAGGCTTAACACATTTATTTGAAATTTAATTGCATAACCTAATGTCAAGGTTATTATATGGTGCACACTGTTCTGATCCAAATTCAAAACAGTGAAGTACAATATCAGCTTGCAGTTACTTTATTATAAATCCAACTGCTTTTTTTTTTTTTTTTTCAATACTGACCATAGCATTTCCCTGAACTATAACATCAATATAAAATCACATTTCCAAAATATTTTGAGATGTCTCCTTGGAAATGAACTCAGGTAAAACCCGAAGCCTCTTTTCTATGACTGACTTGTACTGTGAAAAAAAGGATACAAAGAAAAACAAAAGCTGAGGCGGTGTTGACATGATGCCACAATATAGTGCAGAAGCAAAATTATTAGAATGAGATTCTGACTGTATTCACACAGCTCTGCACTGAGTCCATCAAGCCTGCAGGTTTTGTTTTCCAGGCACAAGAGAGACGGATTAGCAGAAAAGGTCGCTGCAGCATTCTTGTTCCAGCACCTCCATGGAATATGCATTGTGTGTTTTGCTGCGTGTTGGAGGCTGTGCCTGTGCAGAGAGCACAGCTAAAAGCATCCAGGCTGTGTCCAGACTCTCTGTACTCCTCAAGTCAGTCACTCCTCCCTGAATTACATGGCCTGACCTCACCAGCTTTTTTGTCTGTTTTCAGATCTTCAAGTGCCTGAGTAACACTGGATCAGAATGAACATTTCTGCTGGGTTTGACTGGGTTAGAACTAATTTTCTACATAGTAGTTAGCAGGAGCCATATTTTGGATTTGTTCTGAGAAAAGTGATAATTCTGGTGTGGTTTTTAAAATTTATTTATTTTTATTGCAGAGAAGTGTTTTTGTGCAGCTGAAGCCTTTTCTGTTTTTCACAGTGCCCCACCAGTGAGGAGGCTGGGGGTGCACAGCTGTCCCCAGCTGACCCAAGGGATATCCCATGCCATACAGCATCCTGCTCAGTGTATAACATGCAGGAAGGAGAAGGAAAGGGGTAGAATTTTGGAGGGATGGTGTTTGCCTTCACAAGTCACTATTAAGGGTAAAGAAGCCCCATTTTCCTGGGGATGGATGAACACCTTCCTGCCCATGGGAAGTGCTGAAGGAATTCCTTGCTTTGCTTTGCTACTCCAGGCAACCTTTGCTTTGCTTATGAAACTTTCTTTATATCAGCCCATGAGTTTTCTCATTTTTACTCTTGCAATTGTCTCCCCTGTATCCTGACTGGGAGTGAGCAGGTGCCTGTGCAGTGCTTACTTGTCAGCTGGGGTAAAACCACAACAACATTCTTAGAAAACCACTGTGCATTTAACTGTGTGCAAAGTGATTCTCAGGGATGTGCAAACACAGTCCAGGTTTGCAGCAGCATCATGTAAAAGCACCATCTGCTTTTATTTCTGAAGGAACATGGAATAAAGGCATAATAAATAATTTTGACACTTAGCCAGGAACTATAGCCTAAAATTAAGAGGCTTATAGTCATGCAACAAAATATTAATTTAGCCAAATTGGTAATTAAAACATCAAGGTTGTACATTTTAAAATCATGTCACTTATTTTTTCAGTAAAGCCTGAAATTAATAAAGAAGATAATTTAATGTTTGGCCAGGTATTCTGTATTCTAGTACTCTTTCAGCAGTACTAGAATACAGAAAAAAGAGATGCAGTTATTAAAATACGGAAAGAGATTCTATAGAAATGTCTGTGACTCCCAACTCATGCAGATAACCAAATCCTTCTGTATTAAGCTTTTCTTGCTTGGATTTTTTTTTGTTTGTTTGTTTTTTTTGTTTTTTTTTTTATCTTTACACAAGAAAAAGACAACTTGTAAAAATCTTTTCAATGATTCTGTTTCAGTGTTTGGAATAAGCACTTTTAACTGATAGCAACCATCACTCAAATGTCTTCTCTGTAATCATTCCTTGTCTGTCAAAACAAACAGATGTCTTGTGTACAACTCAGAGCTACATCCCTGGTCTCTGAAGCTCCCTATGAGCTTCTGAAGGGAAAAGTTCATTTTATTCTCTAGACACCCTAACTGAGACTCTGTTTACTGAATTAAATAACTGTCTATTCATAGTCAATAACCCTTTCTGTAGTAGATACACAAACAACATATTTGTAAGACTACAGTTATTTCAAAGAGGAAAAATCCAAGAAGGTTAAAAAGAGAAAAACTGAAGCTTACCCCAAACTCATCTCTCCACTGATGTGATGCTTGGTACTTCTCTGCTTCTTTAGCAAGGCGCTGAAGAACAAAGAGAGAGAACATAAATTTTAGTCTTTACTGATTCTTTACATAAAAAAAATCTTTCTCTTTTACTTTTTTCCTATGCATATCTTTCTCCAAAAATTTTATATCTATGCTTTTTTCATTTGCTTGAAAATATATGCATTTGAGTAAAGGTGAACCATCTTATCTAAAAAAAAATATTTTCTGTACTAATTTATATTTAAGTATCATTCACTCCAATATAATTTAGGAAGTTCCAGTTAAGTTCAAAATCCATCAACATGCTGCTGAAAATACTCTCTCTTTACACACACTACCTTGTCTTCTGTGCATTAATTTAGTCTACTATCTAATGACAAGTACATATTAAAATATTAAAACACCATGTTATGGACATTTATTTCTCTGCTATATCATTTAGCTTCAATTACAGAAACTCCTGACAGCCCTGTGATTATTAGGGATACAGAAAACGTCAGTAATTTGGGACTGGCTAGAGTCTGATCTCATGGATTGAATTAGCAGCTGGAGAGTATCAAACATGTTCCTAGAGGGCATTCACCCACATTTAATACTTTGAATAAATCCAGTCTTTTCACTTAGCCCCACAGAAAGAAAAGCACTGGAATTTGCTCTTTCAAATCAATCTCTTGTACAGATACATTCATTAGATTGAATGATGTGTTCCTCCTCATACAAAATTTGAAGTCTGAAAAAAACCAAAACCTGTTTGGACACAATTCTTAGGACTTCACTACAATTTTGCAAATAGAATTTGCCAAGGTTATGCATGTTCTCCAGCAAAGCTGCACACTGATCCCCCATCCCACAGATGTACCCATCCCTAAAGCAAGCCAGCTCACCCTGAAGAAGCAGCCACCTGATGTGAATGCAGTTCATGTGGACTCAGCCATGTCCTAATTGTTGAGTGACTTACTTTTAGACATAAATTATTTTACAGCCCAATAAAAATTTTAGCAACTGTTTTTAGGAGTCGTGGTCCCTTTCTAGGCGACACAGCCTCACTATGTCCACCAGATAAGTAGGGATGAAAATGCGTACTGTGTAACAATAAATCTGATGACCCTTTAGTCGCTATAGGACACGAAAGAACACAAACTCACACTGCTGTTCTCAAGGTGTAGAAAAAGGGAAGTTTATTTTCTGACTCCAACATTTATAGTTTTCTGAGAGTGACAGTGGATTGGAGGGTGACAGTGCATCTCTCCAATGACACTGGATAAACTAACAGTCTATCAACCTTCTCTTCCTCCATTTAGGAATGCAAAACAATGAGTTATTCACAGTAAGTGTGTGAGAAAGTTCACTACAAGAATGTCAACATCAGAAGGCTTAGAAAATCTTAAAAAAACAGGGTGACACCCTTTTAATATTCAGACCAATCCCTACATAAGATGAACTGGTGTCTAAGTCACACTTTCAGTTGAGACACCTTGTCAGTTCTTGCCAACAGCAAAAGGAGTATGACCAGAAAGTCCAGAAAAGCTGGAGTTCCAGAAATGGATCTGTCAGAACCTCACCTCAGACCTTGCCACTGCCTGTGCTGCCTTATCCCCTGAGGGCAACCCTTCTTCCTGCTCTAACACCTACCAGGATGATTGACACATTTCAAAAATCAGAACTTAGGATCTTTGCCTTATTTTTAGGTTTGAAATAATTCTTTAAAACCAGAAAAAATGTCAACTATGTCCTCTACTGCCACAAAATGTGTCCCCATTCAGTTGTTCTATTGTCAATTCAAATGATTCCTATCTAAGAGAAAGCTACCAGCATCTTACAGGCACTACTCACTGGAGATGCACCACATTAACCAAAAAAATCTTATGATATAATTTCATATATTATATTGGAAAAAAGAACAGTCCAACTCTCTCTTGACTGCACTGGATAAACATCTACAGCATTTCATTTTTTGCTAATACACTAGAACAACTTTGTTCATTAAGTTTATTCACTTAATCTAGCCCATTTTATATCTAAATTTGCATATCCTTTGATAAATTCAAGATGATTAAGTCAGATTGTAGCAAAGCAAGATATAACACTTGCTATATGTGTAAATAGCTGCAGTTAACACTGTCCTCAGATTTCCTTCACACTCTGCTCCATTGCCTTAAGGAACTCTGAGAACCACAAAAGACAGAAGAACCCAAATGCACAAAATGATAGATGGATTATGGAGAGAAATATACACTCATCATTAACACCACTAAGAATTTTCCATGGAAAGAACTGAGGTCATGCTTGAAGTTCCTCAGTTCAAATGGTAGATTTCTTAGCTAATCTGCACTATAAAGTGAAAACACTTAAAGCAAAAAAAAAAAAAAAAAAAAAGTTGGTTTTGGTTGCTTTCCCTTGTCTCAAATGAAGGGGGAAAAAGAATATCCCTCACAAAATTATAATCTTATTCTTCTTTAGAATTTTGCAGTCAGGCTTCAGCTAGAACCCATCCTAAGCAACCTTCTAAAGTAACAGTACATGCAATATCTACAATGCTTTATATCTTAAAATAGCCTCCAAAATGAGAGGCTGGCATTCAGGGCATGTGTAGAGAGCTTTGTTAATGGTGATCAAGCTCATATGAAAGTGCAAGAAAACTGTTTAAGAAATAGTAATAACCAATGAGAAAACAGTTGTTCCTTGTGCCCTAGAACCCCAAACCTGATCCCATAATGAAAGTACACATGACAACAAGACAGGATCACACATATAGGTTCCAGCAACAGGTTGAGATACCTTTTTTATTTCTTCATCACTGCTTACCTAAAGAACCTTTTGCTCTACTGTCCAAAATCAGTATTTTTTTGTTGATGTTCCAGTTATTTGATCAATTAAAAAAAAATTATCTGCAATGTATCCAATACTTTAGCTGGAATGTATATTTAGGATGTACCTCATATTACCCTGTGTCAACACTCCTTGGCCAAAAATAGCCAGGCAGTTAAGCAAACTCAAGTTACTTGTGCTTTTTATTGTGACACAAGGAGACTAATTTTTCATCTCAAAGAAACCATGAGATTTCTGCTTCCTTTTGAGGTATGCAAATGTCAGGTCTGGCCTTCCCTGTGTTGATGGAGGAATCTCTGGGGAATGCTGACAGAGAAGCTGCACAACAGCTGGCTGACACCTGGAGCTTCCCATTTTCCTCTCATTACAATGAGGGTATAATAAGGCAACAGCTTCTTTAACACCATGACCCACTGCAGCTCCCTGAAGGTTTCTCCAGCAAATACTAAAATCCTGAGATATTAATTTTTATGTGTAAGAAAATAAGAAGAAATTGTTTTAAACAATATTCTTGCATATTATCCTTTAATAATTTCTTCCTCCATGCTCTCTGTATTGCTTGCTGTATGATGAAAGTTGTGAGATGTTTTTATGCCTTGAACATACCTCTATTTAACAGCATTTTTTGGATACAGAGTATGAAAAGAAGAACAAAATTAAAAATGGGAAAAAGAAACAAAACTAACATGTAACAGAAGTGTTCTGGCTTACTTCATTATATTTAAAGAACCCTACTTCGTGCAGTCTGCTGGAGAGCACAGATTTACTCTGAATTAGTAAATAAATTGAGGAAACACGACCAGGGAGAGAGGGCTGCAAAGGCTAACAGAATGCTGCAGCATCTATTCATGTCCTTTGGAGGATGCCTGACAGCTGTGTGATGGTGCTTTTAAAGTAAGGGATCAGAGGGGCTGCTGCCAGATTTAGCCAGTGTGATTGACACAGTAGCTGATGGCAAATTTAAGGTGCTTGGAAACACTTTGATTAAACATGCAATTTGTTTACTAAATTTTCCTAGATTAAACAATTACTTCTATGTATTTTTTCATTAATTTTCAATTTTTTTAAATTATTAATGATAACAAATTTCTCCCTTTTTTTTTTTCCTTAGCAGGGTGCAGTGCTCATTATTTTCAGGATTTTCCAGAATACTTAGCTCATTAATAAAAAATTTTTAAAAATATCCGTTATAAATCAGTCACTGCTCACAAATAAGTATTTTTAATCAAACTTTAAAAGGAGTCAAGAGGTATCTGCCACTAGATTTCCTTATATCTTTCAAAGAGAAAGGTTATCTTTAAAGGAAAACAGCTATTGAAAAGCCAGATAAGGTGCAAGTGTTAATTCACTCCACCAGCCTCTGAATCTTTCTTTAACTTTTAAAGGGATTATAAAAGATTATACACATACAAACACACACACAAATAATAGAAAAGGAAAACAACTAAAAAAGATCCAAAACCCAGCTGCTTGTCAATCTCATAACCCTCTATTTCCAAAGGTCTTGTCCCCAGTTTCCAAGTTCGTGTTCCTATCTCTGAAAGGCAGCCTTTGATGCAGCACAGACACCAAGAATCTTTATCTGATCTGTAAAGATCAACTCCCTAGCAGGCCTATTTATCTTCCAGCTTTCATTTTTCTTACATTTATGTCATATTTTTATCTCCTCCTTGCCAGCGCAAGATTCTGTCAGCAAACGGCCCAATTAAATTTATATTCAGTACAATTAAATCATTTTCTTTTGTGTTTCCCATTCTCCTTTAAGTGTTTTATTTGAAAATAATATTCAGCTAGTTCTTGATACATTAAGTTATTATAAAATGTGTAATCTTAAGAGTTAATAGATATCAGTAACCTCATAAACTTTTTAAAACACAAAATCTAAGGGGTTTTTAGGTTATTTTAAGAAAATAAGTGCCATGAAAAACATGTCAATATCAAGCTTATAAAGAACAACATAGAATCCAGAATGACCTTCAAGTCCTGATTGTAAAATATTCTCCAAATAGTCAAACCTGCTCTTGCATGAACAGCACAAAAGCCATGAAAAGCATGTGTAAAAGTGGTTTAATACATAGTTTTCATATATGTGTCTGAAACACAAATATTTTTCTTCCATAGTTGATTATTAATTGGATATGAATTACAAGATGAGGGAGAGATTCTGTAAGACTCAAATATTGGTGTCTGAAGTGTCAAGTGCCAAT